TACATTTCATCTCAGCCTTACTATTAATTCTCCCCAGGATGCTCTGGGTTGTGGGCAGGTACTCGGAGCCTCATTGCCCAGTGCTCTGCTGACAGCGATGCTCTGCAGAAACCAAGTCAGGGCTCTCCCTACTTCTCTTGCTCACCCCTTTCCCAGTCAGCATGAGAGAAGAGAAAAATGTCTTCTCCTCTTCCTTGCAGGCTCCAGCAATGAAGGTGGGTCTGGCTCTAGAGTCCAGGTCTCCATCCAGCAAAGCTTTTAAGCATGCAGTTAATCCATCCCCATTTAGAAAAGTGCAGATGTAGCTACATTTTGCCAAGTGAGATCCGGGAGCACACGCCAGCTAAGGGACTTTGGTAAGGGCTCTGGTGAGCAGGGATGGGCAGCTGGGAGGGGACCACAAAAAGGCAACAGAAAAAAGGAGCAGAGAGGGCAGCTCCAGTAGTATTGGAGAAGCAGGAGCAAGGAGAGCTGAGTCAGGCCATGTCTCAAAAAAGCTCACTCCAATTTCAGTGCTTTTGTTGACTCTGGTGTCACCTTTCCCAAGTCACTTCACTGTGCCATTAGAGTTAAGAGCAACCTCTGAGAAAATCCTTCTGAGATTTACACAAAGGGCAGACTGTGAAAGCCAAGTGTTAATGATTACATCTTGGTTGAAATTACCTGGTTTCAGAGGTAATTTCCATTATCTCTCTAGAACTTGCTAGAAGTTCTTGATTCTGACCTTGGGGACACATCTGTGGCCTCACTTCTTCCAGTGCTTCACACTTCACACTTCACTACTACACATGTATTCAGGATCCCATTAGGTCAGGCACAAGGAAAGAGACAGGAGTCAGGGCAAAATGCTCAGACTAATTCTCCAAACATCATGGGCAGATTTAAGAGCAGCCAGGGGAAAGTAACTCACAGCCCCTCTGCTTGTGGAAGGCTATACATGCCACATTCATGTGATCCTGCAGCAATGTCCACAGGGAAAAGAGCAGCTTTCAGGCAAGTTAGTTTCAACAATGGAAGTAACTGTGTCTGGGAAAGAGGGTGCGATTTTGGTTGCTGGGAGTAAAAAATTGACACAGAAAATAAAAGACCAGACCTGCTGAGTAGCCTGTTTTCAAGAGTCTCTTCTCACTGCCTGCGACCAAACCCCAGCTCAGCTGAAGAACAGGACACAAATCCAGATGTTCATGCTCAGAGTACTCCCAAATATGCCATGACTGCCTCTTACCTTTGGTATGTGGGCTGTTAATTTACTGGAATGTTTGAAGCACAGGATGAAAATGTCTCTGATGATCTCAAATGGGAAGCCCTTCTTCAATGAAATTCTTCACAGGAAATTTTCTTTTTGGAGAAGTATATACCAAAAAAGTGCTAAAGACTGTATTGTTCGAGACAAATCTAAGAGCTGCTGTCATCTAAAATAAGCAGCTAGTGCACTTTGATGTACAGCAGAAACTTTTTGGATGTTACAAAAATAGCCCCTTGTATTAATCTGACAGGTCCGGCCCCCCTGGAGGTGCACAAAGCCTTAGCACAAGCAAAGCTTTCTGATGCCTTGCTGAGTCACTACATCACCAGCTCCTGACAGAAAGCCTTCTTCTAAATGTGCCCTGTAGGCTTCACTAATTGCTGTGATGTATAAAATAGGGCATGTGAAGATGATACAGGTTACAGAGCCTGAAAAATGAAGTTTAATTATAAGCTACAAAATCTCAACATCATAAAGATTGTTTCTGTTCAAGATCCAACAAGGCTTCTTATATCTTACTGCAAGACATCTGTGGCTTTAACTCATCAAGCACTTTAGTTTTCCCTCAAAAACAGGAGAACTTCATCTTAAGAAACAAATTAAACAACTACTTTTTATACTAAATATGCTTAACCTAAAGATTTCTCCCTATTATTTCATAAACACCTTGAGATTACAGAGGCTCAACTAGCTTAGTAAAGACGAATAGTGTGTGATCCTGGGAATACAGCCATTGCATTAGTTATTCTTCCTTTCCATTGTGTTAGGCTTTTTGTAAATAATCTGCATGTTTAATGAATGGAGACTAATTAAGAAGAAAGGACATGCTTTACTGTAGTATTAAAACCTGTTCATTGCCATAGGCAAGATATCATCAATATTTCTAGATGAAAATTACTACTTGCATTATACATCATGCAGAATTTTACTGTAACCATTTAAAAAGGCTAAAAGAATGTTTTATCATTGGGTACAAACAGCCATATGCAGATTTAAAACTATGTAACCAAATGCATAATTCATCAATGTATATGATACTTTGGAAGAAAGGCATAACAATCTTGACTATTTCACAGATCCCAAAAGACAGAAAAATCTCTTTTATCTCCAGAGCAAGGCTGCTCTATACATCTAAATAAGACCAGTCAAGTGTGCTAATATCAGTTGTTTCACTGCAAGTATGTACTTTCCTTATTGTCTTTAACAGATTTCCCTAAATTCACAGTGGTAACAAAACAGTTATCACTGCCCCAAACAGCTGATTTATATGCCAAATAGCATGGTGGAGTAAATGCCACTTAGGACCAGTTCTATCAGCTTTGTTCGTACAAACAACCACATTGGTTTAAATAGAATCAATCAAGTCAGCAGGGTTCAGTCAGGCAATGTCTACATTAGCAATAGGAGCAGCGCTGTGGGAGGAAACAGCTTCTGCTGGGGGCCCAAAGTCGGTGCCAGCGGCGTGGTGGAGACACGATGTTATTCCAGCCAAGCTCCTGCTTGGCCCCACAGCTGCCTATTAGCAGCTGGAACAAACACAGCAACTGGGAAATTCACTTCAGAAACATTCTCCTGATCCCAGCTGAAACAAGGATGTGGGCACATCCCCAGATGGCCACAAGCCTACCAGTGTCTCACACGCATCATCATGTTTAGCAAAGAAAAATTCCTCTGAGTCTTCTCCATGGCATTCCAAGGAAGGGGCTGCACATCCCATGTGCTGAGGTGGCAGCACAGCCTGTGTGTCCTGCAGGGCTGGACAGGCAGGGACATCCTTGGGTGATCCCAGGGAAAGCTCAAGTGTCTGAGGAAAGGGAGAGCATGAGGTGCATGGGAACCTTCAACAGTGTTTGAATGAAGAATTGGTTTTCCTAGGATATTTCCCAAGTGTATCCAGTTGGTGTAATGATTCTGAATTTAATGGCTGCCACCTAATCTGCACAAAACTGCATCAATTCCACTTAACCAGGAAGTGCCAGAGGAGGCAGGGAGCCAAGCATGATTACATTGCTACAAATTCCTAATCATTGACTCTCACAGTGCAGAATGATCAAAATAAAATAGGGAATAGGAAAATGATATCACTATTACTTGCTTAATAAGATACTTTACCTCATTTTTCCCCAGCATTATAAATGAGACAGCTGCCTTGCTTTGTATCTCGGTACTCATACAGTGTATCCTTCAGCACCTCTATTTGTTCTGTTTTTCATTGCTGAAATAATGGTAGAAATAAGCCAATGGAGGCACTCCAGTACCAGTATACAAAGTCACAGCTCTCAAGAAAGACAGAAATAAAATTATTTTCTCAAAAAAAAAACTACATACACAAATACATAGATTTTTTTTTTTCTTCCTTACTGCCTACTGTGAATCTTCAGAAAAGTCAATATGTTGATTATTTTCAGCAGGGACATGCCAATCACATAATCAATACGTTTATATCCAGCTACAGTATGTAATTTCTCTGTTGTATTTTGCAGTTCTTCTACATTAGGCCCAGCTAGAAAATACAACTCTGGTGTTATTTTGGCTCTTTGTGATTTATATGTTAAATCCACAGTAAAGTCTTTAAATTCTTTTCAAAATAGTTTTCAAGTGATAGTGGAACCATTGGTCTGTGTTCTCAGTTAAGAAATTACTGTTTTGAGATAGTGTCTCGAATTCTATCTATTTTAGTATCTCCTTTCAGGCTCCCCTTGAGTAGCAGAAGTTTAGACCAACTGATTACTCTGCCCCTCTCTCAGGAGATAATTGTTTTCTCCATCTTGTTATGCATTTTTAGCTGCTCAGTGGTGTAAAGTGTAGATGTGCAAGTACTTTTTTTCTTGATACAAATCCTTCAGCTTTCAGGTGACTTAGTACTTGTCCTCATCAGACATGAAAGGTTTATGCGCTGTGCAAAGTGCTGTAAATTCACAATAAATTACAGGAGTAATTACAGGAGATGACCGAAGATACTTTGAGATGCAAAGCACTGTTAGGTTCCCCTGGGCTTTCTCAGGGTAGCAGGGGCACAAGATCTCACCAGAGGAGGCTTCTGTGGGTACATAATTAAAAACACAGTACATGGCTAACCTTAAAATTTAAGCCAAAAGGAAAGTGTGTGCATAGAAGGATTTGGGAGGCTGGGTCTTTCAAATGGTACCTATGATTTTGGAAGTATAATCAAAAATGTACAGGAGCAATGCATCAACAAGATCTTGATGTAACATTTTTATTTTATTACTCTAATTTCTCACCTAGAAGAAAGACTTCTACAGATGGTTCCATACTGAGATGAGAACTCATACAATTTTATCTTTGGTCTAATACATTGTAATGATTTGTAGGTGTTTGTTTTTTAATTTTGCATCTTTATTCAAATATTTTTAAAGTAGCCAGATTAACATAGTGTTCAAAATTCCTCACTGATCAAAAGGTATTAGTGGGTGTTTTGATTCTGATATGACAGCAAAAAAATTAATCTTACAGACACCAAAATTCTTCACTTGTTTATGTGTTTATTTATGTTCTGTTACTATTTCCTCCTCTGCTAATACCAGTTTTTTCATCTGCCTCCTCAGTAATCCATTGAATCACTTACTTGGCTTTCAGAAAGTTCCCTGTCTGGATAAGCTGAGATAGAAGCCTGAAACATTTACACTCTCCACACTACAGCCAATAAAGAGATTGTTTACAAATTATACTGTGATGTGCGAGATCTCACTTGATTATACCTTAACTATTGTGTTTTTCCCTCCCTACCTCACAGATGATGGAAATGCTTAAAACAAGTTAAGGTAGTATGACACAGACTAACGTAAGTGTGAGCATGGCATCCAGGGGACAAGCTGTGAAATGTTTGCGTGCTTCTGCCAAAATGCGTTGCATGGCTTTCTGCTGTTGTCTCGTGTTTCTGATGTTAGGCAGCATGTTCAGCAACATGTAAGCATTTCATTTGATATTTTTATTCCAGCTCAGCTTTGGTTTTGTGTAGTCTTAATATTCTGCCTTTTTTGGTAGCTTGTGGCAGCTGCTAGTGGCAAATCTGCAAGCTGTGTATGTCATTCCTAAGTGACCTTCAGAAGTACCTGCTAGGACCGGGACCCCACTGGATATGGATGTTTATAAATCCATGGTAGAGATGTTGAAGTGTGCAGTTCAAGTGGGCCAGGAGCAGAATCTTCCCTCCTGTGCCTCCCGGTGGAAAGCGGCTGCTCCTGGTTTGTCTTCCCTGGGAGTCAAGCCTGCTCCTGGTGAAGCTCTGCTACCACCAATGCTTTGTGACTCTTCTGTTGTCAAACTCTTGCTCCATGTGGCAGATGACACATCAGAGTTGTGAATGCTGTTTGCACAGTCTCTGTTTAAAAAAGACTGCTATGAGCAAATATGATGTTTTCCTGTTTATGTAGTCCTTTTAATCTTAGTGTATGTAAAGCTTAAGACGGTGAGACTAATCACAGCAGCTCAAAACATACTTACCCACATGGGTCTTGTGATGCTGCGTGGTATGGAGAGGTAGAACTCAGTTTTCCCTTCCTGGGTTTCTTTGCTCATGGGATTTTCACTCATATTTTAAGGGTGCTGGTGGGGATTTTTTGTCATAAGGCTGGTCAAATATTGACAAGGTTGCCCAGCAAGGTAATATCATCTCCATCCATGGAGATCCTCAGAATGTGACTGGACATGACCCTGAGCAACCTGCTCTGTTAGGACCTTCTTAGAGAAGGGAATTCATGACCTCCAGAAGTGCATTTCTACTTACAGTTGTCCATGATTCTACAGTTTCGTGACTGTACTGGTGGGGAGTAGAGTGAAGCCACCAAAATAACTTTTAAGCCATCATTCAAAACCAGATCACCAGAGATCAGTCTTCCAGTGATTAGTCCACTTTCCTGGAGTTTGTTGAATGCTGGAAATTACTCTCAGTATACTCAGTTCAACCACTTGCAACTGAGCTTACACAGATTAATTGTTGTTGTTTTCTTATTATGCAACAAAAAATATGTATTGAATAACATGTGTTGTGTGAGATCAAGATGGCTTATCAGAAACACCTCTACTTTTGAATTATTGGAGCTATGCTAGCTGATGCTGCCAGCTGTCTACATGATGTTTTTATAGCTCTTCTCAAGTTTCCTGTGTAAGATCCCTACCTCTGTTCCTAAGACATTAATGATTAAACTGTCAGAGCTGAGAAATCCACCTACAGACCAAGGTCACCTTCGCTGTTCTCAGTAACAAACGAAAATGCCAGGCTAACAAGGCTTAGGAAGTCCTAATTAATGTCAGTGGGAAACTCAAAGCCAGAGAAAATAGGGCTGGCAAAACAATTCTCTCTAGAGCTAAGTTTTTTTTTTCAGCCATTGTAAAAGAAGCCTGGAAGCTGTATTTTCAAATATGGTTAGTGCTGGGGATGGGTTGCAGAAAAGGAAGGGAATCAAGGGGTTTGTGATTTCCTGCCTCCTTCTTCTCAGTGAGTTCCTGCCAGCAGTCAGAGCTCTGACAATCAGCTGAGGCCCTGAGGCAGGAGCACTGTACATCTCTGTTTCCACCTGCCAAAAAGTCACCATGCTCCTTCGTCAGTTTGGCTCCCAAAAAAATGTGTCTCCTCAGGGATGCTGCAGCCATGACATACACAGAGCTGGGCCACCCCACAACCTCCCACCTCCTCCCCTTGCTGCCAAAAGATCCCTCATCCTAAAAAAAAATGGCCAATATCTACCCACAGTTGTCAGGTGAATGGATGTCCACAGACTGTATTTTATAGAAGACAACTCACAGACCTGTCTCTAGCACCACTTAAGGATCCTGAATTTATCTTTGAGTCTTGTGAAATAGAAAAGCCCATCTTCTCAAAGCACCCTATTAAGCATTTTTGCTCCCATTTTCTTCCCCTAAATTAGTCTTAGTTCAACATTCAGATTCCCTGAGTTGGGCTAATCCTCTTGATTGCCACCTCCCTCCTCTCAATGCTCTGACCCTCACTACAGGCTTGATGGAACCAGCTGTCTCTCAGACACCTTATCTGGCAGAGAGCTGCTAAGTCCTGCAATATTTCAGCCTATTCATTCCTACAATCTGGGGTTTTCATGCTGATGTCCTTACTCAGACATCTCTGGTTTCTGTGTAAACCCAGTGCTGCTAGAAGAAGCTTGGTTTCCCCACTGATTTCCTTCTATGCCAAGGATGTCTCCAACTCAGTTCTCTTATTTTATAAGTGTGAGGGAGAAGTCCACAAATGAGCGTGGGTTTGATTTTCAGTGCCTATATGTGGGTAATAGCACCTGCAGCCATGTTTTAAATTCCAGAAAGAAATATTCAGATCAGATATGATGAACAAAATTCCCACAGCCTTTCCAGCAGTGGGGAGAACAAACAGAGGAAACAATTCCCTAAGGGAGCCGTGACTTTCCAGTGTTGGAAAGCCCTAGGAATATATTAATCAACATCATCAGAAGTGACTCTGATGCAATTAGCCTACCTTGGGACAAGAAGTGGTCCACATGACCTCCTGAAGTTCCCTCCTGCGTGTTTTTTGTATGATTCTGTTATTTCAGCCAAAAAAAGTAATTGTGGTTCTAAATTGTGTGCATGTAGAAGAGGCTGACACCAGGACACAAATTCAGTGGTAAGAGTGGACAGACCTGAAGGACCACTGCAGGCTGTTGAATGTAATCATCTCCTCTTGAACGTACACACACACACAAGGGTGTAAGTCCACTTACACAGTTTCTTCCTCTTAGCATGACAACAGGCCAATGTTACACACTCAGCCAATCCCAGCAGTACCCACAGGGCCAGACACTGTGGCCCACTGGATCTTGCTCCCACATGTTCCTCTGCAGATCCTCTTGTCTCAGCTGCCTTCCTCCTTGATCCTCGCTCCATCCCTCACCAAACCCTGCAACACAGATACCTTCACCAGTTACATTATCCTGAGCAAACAACAGGAATAGTTTTTCTAAAGACCTTCAGTGTAGTTTTATTCCCCACATGAAGATTAAATCCTCAGAAAATTACACACAGAATGCCATCATTGATCCAAATGGTCTCCTACAATTTCCTTCACCCTTCAGCCACATATGTTTTTGACCTTGTCAGATTAGGAGATTGGTTTCTCTCCCTGGTGGCTTCTCTGAAGTCTCAGTTACCACAACCCCTCTGTGCTTCCCAGGCAAGCACAAGCTCCTCTGATGCTGGGTGGTGTGCAATGTCCACACTGCTGCTGCTGCGTGCTGCTTCATCTGCCCCACAAGAGCATTAAACAAAAGTCACTGCTCTCTGAAATGGTCAGTGCCTGCTCACTTGCCTACTGTTGAGTTGCCTCTGTTCCCTGTTCAGATATTCCCTGCACCACAGAGCTAGGCATGCCTTCATCAGGACATTTCTCCTCTTATGTCCTAATCCCTGGCTGTCCTTTGCTGCTAGATGCTTGTGCATCTTCCGTCTCAACATTTCCATTTGACCCATCCCTCATTCAAGCTGCAGTTCCAGTGCCACCTCTGGGGCTCTGGGAGCCATCCATAGCAAAAAGGGTAACACACCCTCTTCCTCTGCCCCCACCTGCTGTGTTCAGCCACGTGCTGATCCTCTCCAGCATTGCCAACTTTGAACTCAAAGTCATATTATTCAGGGAGCAAACAAGTGTCTCTGTGTTTATCACTGGAATAGTGTGAAGGCACCCCTCTCCCTTCCCTGAGGCTGGTGTTGCTCACAACCCAAAAGAATGGTGCTTTTAACTTCAAGCAGAAGCACACTCACTCATTCACTTTTGGAAGTGTGGTTATAACTCAAGCAAGGAGTGTGCTCTTGGGTAGAATCCCTACCCCATCCAGAAAATTAATGTGGCTTCAAGGGATGTGGAGGAGCTTTATGCAAACAGGGACTTGAGACAGCCCAGCAAAGCACATTGTTTCCTGGAAGTGCATAGGAGCCCTAATGAATTTAGCAGGATGATCCATGGGCTGAGAGGTGTGCTCTTATCTAAGTGCTTTTCTGGCTGAGGGCCACAGACTGACTTGCTCTTGAGAGCCCATGGGACAGCTGGGAAAGCAAAATCTGCCCAGTGGAACACCAGTGTCTCTCTTGCCCAAAGACTATCCAACTTCCTGATGTGTGAAAGTTGTAGGGTCTTTATCAAAGACATTGAAAAGCTCAGCAGATCTCAAGCTTCCTTTCTTCAGTAGAGCAGCTTTAATCCTCCATCAGGGCTGGCCAGCCTTTCTGTATCATGTATCCCCAAAATGCCAACATTTCCCTATGACCAACAGCCACCAGATCATGAAGATCTGAAGCAGGACAAAGACCTTGGGGTTGGTCACAGACAAGAGCAGAGTCCTTCTTCCACAGTTCCTATGGAAGACAGCTTGGCTGGGCTTGTGCTGGTGTCTGCAACCCCAAATCCTGCCCTACCACAGGGACTCCAGTGACAGGTGGATGCTGTCAGTGCCACAGGGACCACAGTGCTTGGAAACCATAAATGAACTACTCATCAAACATAACCTAAAGGATCAGAAATTATCCAGTATTAAGGGTTGGATTTCTGTATATTTTAGGCGTCCTTCATAGTGGCAGCATGTGATATCCCTTCTCTGCATCCAGAATAAAGCAGGATGGAATAAAACAAAGAATAGAACAGGCAGAAACCCAGACAGACCAGCAGTGTCTCTCAACCTGGCAATACATTAAACTGGCAAGTTATTATACATGAATTGAGCTAGATATATATGACTTATTATACATGAGTTGAGCTAGAGCAGGCTGATGCTCTTACACACACTGCCTTACCTGTCTTCCTCATGAACAGCTATTTTGGAT